GAAGTGCTTGAGAAATGTTAGTAATAATGATTATGGTGATGATGAAGCTAGGCCACATGGCCGTGGTACCAGGGAGACACATACTGCATATGTGACCCTGCCCAAATCACCTAATATATAAGCTGCAGAGAAGGGACCACTCTCCAATAATAGTATCAGACAGTCAATAAGCATTTGGCACATGCCTACTGGACAGCTAGGTGGCATAGTGTATAGAGCACTAGGCCTGGAGTTAGGAAGACCTGAGTTCAAATCTAGCCTCAGACACTTACTAGCTATGTGACCCTGAGCAAGTCACTTAACCCTATTTGCTTCCGTTTATCATCTGTAAAATGAGCTGGAAAAGGAAAATGGCAGACCATTCCAGTATCTTTGCCAAGAAAACCCCAAATGGGGTCACAAAGCATGGAATACAGCTGAAATGAACATGACCGAAATGGACGAACACACAGGTGCTTACTATGTTCCAGGCACTGTGCTGAGCACTGAGGGTACAAAGATTTAAAAGAAAAACCAGTCCTTGCTTATAAAAAGCATACATTCTAATAGTGGAGCCAAAATATAAATAACTAGGTACATACAAGATATAGATAGAGTAGATAGAAGGTGATATGAGAGGGAAAGGCACCAGCAGCTGCAGGACCAGAAGAGGCCTCCTACGGAAAGTAGGATCTCAGTCTTGAAGGAAGCCAGGGGAACTAAGAGGTGAAGGTGAAGGGGCAGGAGATTCCAGGAATGGGGGACAGCCAATGCAAACACAAAGAGAAGTGAAACTGAGTTTCATGAGTAAGGAACTTCAAGTAGGCCAGTGAGGTTGGATTGTAGAGTTTGTGAAAGGTAGTCTAAGGCAAGTGGAGAGGTGGGAGGGGGCCAGGTCATGAAGATGTTGGAACGGCAAAACGAAGAGTTTGGATATGATCCTGGAGGTGGCCCTCACAGGGGGAGGGGGTTGGGAGGGGTCAGACCAGTACACAGTAAACCTGAAGGATAGATTGGAGTACTATACTCTCTAGCCATCTTCTTAGGTTCAATAATGCCACTGTCATAGCTAGCTGTGTGGATACAAGAAAGTCACTCAATCTACCAGTGACTCCGGCAACCTTTTCAATTGCTGATCTGAACTGGCAGATGAGGTTTCTCTACCAGGAACTCCCTACACTCATGAAGTTACAGGTTTGGAGCAACAGCAAATAAACAAATAAACTTTACTTCTCATTAACTATTGAATAAAGTTCAAACTCATAATCCTGGCATTCAAGGCTTCCCACAATTCAACGCCAATTTGCCTTTCCAGTCTTTTTTTTCCCTTTCCAGGCTTATCTTCTATTATTCCCTTCTCTAACACAGTACAGCAGACAATAGCAATATAGAGTTGGAAGGGTCCTTAGGGGCCATACAGTTCAAAGAATTTTATAGATGAAGAAACTGAATAACTTGCTGTAATACACTGATTTTTTTTTCTACCTGTATACCCTTCCTTATGCAATCCTTTCTAACTGAAAAGGCTGTGTCATTTCTATCAGTTGAAAGCTCATTCACCCTTCCAAGCCTAGTTCAAATGCTAACTCTTCCATGAAACCACCCTATATCATCTCAGCCGACAGTGATCTCTCCCTACTTTGAGCACCTATAGCACTAACTCATGTCACTATTATCTTACTGTTCCTTGCATAAAACTCCCAACTATGACTGGAATAACCCTCTCAACTAATACTGGATGGATGGATGGAGGGAGGGAGGGATGGATGGAGTGACCGAATGAATGAATGCTTTAAAGTCCTCATTGATTTGTTTCACCTATGACCTTCTTCTTTCTTCTGAAACATTTGTTAAAGAAAAAGGCATATGTGGGAAAAGGGGGAGGGAAAGAGATGCAATATAGATTTTGTTGTTGTATCATTTCAGTCCCATCCCATTCTCTGGAGCCCCATTTGGGGTTTTCTTGGCAAAGATTTTGGAGCGATTTGCCATTTCCTTCTCCAACTCACTTTACAGATGAGGAACTGAAGCAAACAGGGTTACACAGCTTACCCAGGATGGCATAGTTAGTAAGTGTCTGGGGCCAGATCAGAATTCAGGTCTTCCTGACTCCAGCACTTCTATCCACTGTACCACCTCTAGCTACCCTCAAAATACAGACTAGTAACAAGTTAAAACTTAGTAAGAGAAAGTCACTGGACAACGAAATGAGGTGTTGGAAATAAGATGATTGTTTAAGATTATGCTGTTAAGACCAGAATAAACAAATGATAAGAAACGGTATTCAAATCAAGGACCACACCTTGGAGAAAAGGTTGATGAAGGGAAAAAATGTGAAAGTCAAAGTCAAAAAAAAACCAGAAGAACTGAAGTTGGGAGCCATTCTACTTCACATTTCTGAAATGATACATTATTTTGAAATCCTGAGATTCTCAAAGCAAGTAACCTAATTTTATTGAATTGCTTTGAAGAGATACATCTACCTCCAGACTGGGATGAAAAAAGATCAGTAATAATTTGTTTCTTACATTTCAATATCTGCAAAGAAGGCTCCCTAAACTTTATCAATGTGCCTGCAAATCTGAAATTGTTTCCATTTCTGTGTGATCTTTTTTTGGTTTGGCTGTTTTGTTTACACAAGTTATAAAAATTTCACTATCTCCTTAGCTGTCCTGGGTAGTGATTTCTTCTGTTTCTGAATTCATCAACATCTTCTGACTTGTAAAAGCAGTACATATATAATTTTTAAGAGCATGGATGAATTTTGACCTCCTTCATTTCCTAATCTTACATTATTATGTAAGGTTCTGTGATTTCAGCAGTATGATTATTCATTTTTTCATTATGATTATTCATTATTTATAATCTTCATTACAATATTATAGTAGTCTTCATAAGTTGTTGCTGCAAAACAACAACAACAAAAACCGCCATCTGGTGGCCAGCTACTTGGGAAGAGTTTTCTCTGAACTTAATTAGTCTAATTCTTGGTTGAGAGGCATATAGGCAGCTTGGCGGGACCTCTGCCAGAGGTTGAGCCTAGCTGGCACTAACTTCCAAACCCAAATTTACCTCCATGCTACAAGGAGCCATTGGAGGTGGACTTTAGTGGTTTTACTAATTAAATATTATGCAAAAGATGCCCATTTCTATTGGGTACATAATTTCTTCCAAATCTGGCACCAAGGTACCCAGATTCCTACTCACACAAGCCCTCCATGAACCCAGGATCTAAGCCATATGCTTCAACACAAAGTGAAAGTCAGGAGAAAAAAAGATTAATATTTTCCCATTTCCCACCTGAAACCCTAAAGGATCTTGTGAAAGTTGGCCTACATTAGCATGAAAACTGGCTGAGACCTCTGCGAAATGCTGTCTGGGCTCAGCAAAACAGTTCATGAACTCTGGCCAAACTTTCAACGAACCTGACCCAAGCCTTGAATTTGTAATGCAACATGATACCAGGTGAGATTTCACATGGCTTCAGGTTTCATTCTGAAAACTTGGCTCAACTTTCTAATCAATCATCACTCCTTGAGACGATGAAAGCCAACACACCTTTTCTAAAAATGAGCACCGATGACAGCTCAACCATAGAGCTGCCCCTTAGTTCTGTTTTGCCAAGAGAAGATCTTTCAGAGATAAACCAGTTTTGTCCTTACCTGGAACAGGAGGACTGAGTGATTCTGATGTGGTGTGAAGAAAGAAATGAATGAGGTGCCTTGTGAAATAATCACCTGGCACAAGGTAAGTCCATCTAACCTAATCGGGAAGGGGTTTTGTATCTGACTCTATTCACATTCACAACAACCAACATCATGTTTAATCATCTTACCCAGGGAGATGTGTATTTAGCCTGAAGACAATCGTCAGCAAGGATAACTGCCAGGAGCAGTGAAATGTTCAGAGGCAAGATCACTGCTCTACATTCATAACAGTTAAAGAATAGGAGGGGAAAACAAGAAGCAACATAACTCATTTTGAGAAACACTAGGAGAGAGGATCAGTGAGACTGCAAGCCTCTCGAGCTCACATCTCTTTACGCTTTTGCAATAAAACCCTCCAACCCCAGCATAAACCATTTCAGTAATCATCAATGCACAGGGCATATGGCAGAAACATATTGCTGCTTTCTACCTGAAGTTTTAACTTGCTATACCATTCTTTTTAAAAAATGACCTTGTCTTCCCCTGAAAGCTTGCTTTTGCTTCTAGTGACATGAGAAAATGGAGCAGCATATAACCCAACCAAGGCACTACATCATTAGAACAGTATGTCTGAACATGGGGGTAATGAGGCACAGATGTGAAGTCGGGGAATTGGCACTACCCAAGGTAACAGAGGAATGTTCACCACTGCATTGTAATGGTTAAAACAACCTCATTTGAGAAAGAAAAAAGAAACCCCATTGACAATTTCTTCCACTTATATCTAAAGCTGAAGTTAAATCTTTTAACTGCTTTTTAACATCTCTAGAATAAGAAAAACCACAATATTATTTATACTTAGCATGACATTTAAGAAACAGAACACATATTTGCATTTTCTTCATATATGTGCAATATATTCATCTCATGACACCTAGATTTTAAGTGAAACCATAGAGCCAAGCCAATAGTAACTGACAGTCTTTGTACTACAGAAAGCCATGATTCTTGAATAGACTTTCATAGAAATGGAAAGGTGGTAGTATTTTTTTTAATTAAAATGATTCTGGTCCTTTTAGAGCAGGGTTCATTATTGCAAAGCATTCCACTAATAAACTGCAAATGAATATACAGCAATATTATGTATATATACAAGCTCCATTCTTATGCACAGACCACCATTACTTAAAATGCTTGCCAAAGCAGTCTCACTTAGAGATGACAAGGCATTCATTGCTGCTAGAAGCTACAAAACATGCAGGGGATAGGCAGCTAATAAGCCAGGGTACTTCTCATTAAATTAGTTTAGCTCTAAGGGCTCATTTTTTACTCAGGGTAGGAGGAAACATTTTTTTTCTTAAAGCAAATGCTTACCCGAGGGCCCTGATCCCCTTGATCTCCCTGCAAAGTGGAAAGATGAGATGATAGTTTTAACACAGCATATGTGTGCTACTATCTCATAATCTCAAATTACAGTATGTCAAGGTAAACTAGGTCTAGATCTATGATAACTTGGCTCGTTTTTAATTTGGATAGGATCACCTACGTCATATATTTACTCACCTTGTCACCTTTGGGACCAGGAGGGCCCTGAAAAAGAGAAAGAGAAAGAAAGAAGTGAAAATGTTATTGTAACTTGAACAGACTACTAACTGGCCTGAGGGGTATGTGAGCAAAACACACAAGCGACAAGGTGCTCTTTCCTTATCATGGTAACTCTTAGAGGAACTAATGATTCTTTAGCCATATTTGTGTTCACAATAAAAAAAAACAGCAAAAACCATAGCTAAATGTATCTCTGCAATTGTCTTCACTACTTTTCATCCAAAAAGGTTCATAAGCATTATAAAAATCAGAATATAGTTTTTTTCTGTCTATGAAAACACCAGAAATCTTGATTCTCCATTAGTGCTCACACACACTGACCCCCTCATAGGGATATTGAATGCCAGCCTCAGTCATGTGCTGGGATATGGAGAGGTAGGGGAAAGAACAAGTATTTATTTTCTACTATGCACCAGTCAGTGTACTTTACAAATATTACCTTAATTGATCTTATATATATATTTATATATGAATATGATACATCCAGTGGATGTACTTATTTCAAATCAATTCAAGAAACATTTAAGTATCTACTAGATACAGAGCATTGAGGGAGAGGCAGAGGGCGATGTGTGGGAGAGTTTTGAAATTTAGGTAAGATGGATATAGATGGTCTTCTGGAACTTATTAATTTGGTAGGGGATTTGATTCATATACCAATAATAGAAATATAGAATAATCTAGGATAAATGCATTAGAACGGTGCAAAATGTTATGGGAAGTCTAGATGAGAAGTTAATTTTCACCTGGGAGCAGAAAGGAGGGAGGGAGAGATGCTGGAATTCAATGGGTTGGGAGAAGATAGGGAAGACAAACTTCAACACTAGGGAAATGGGTGAGGGGGTACGTGTACATTAGAGACACAGTGGGCTCCCAGTCTTCCTCAATTTACATGCGTACTATGAAGATAAATAAGATAACGTTATTTTTTAAAAAAACATAGCAACATAGATTAATAGATAGAAGGCCACTAAAAGGCCACTCTGCAGTTTACAGTTGAGGCCCTAAAAGTGCCTAAGGGATTTGGTCAAGGTGACATTAACAGGTAGGAAGTGAGGAAGGTTTTGATGCAGGCATTGTGGCTCCAAATTTCCATTGCACTACATGGCCTCTTAATCTTCTTATGGATGGTAATATTCAAGTATTACCATTATTATTAATAATCCATCAATATTCTAATGATTAGAATTTTTTTGTATGGGGTCTCCCTGTACCAATATAGATCATAAACCATTTGCAAATTAGGAGACAGTCTTCAAAAGTTTCTGAGTCTTAAAGTTTCGTCAGGCCAACTTAACAGCAGGTCCCTTCAACTTTGCCAGGCTGGTCCTTGAACAAGAGACTCATGGATGGATTGTCAGTATCATCTGGTTGCACTTGAAGCTTTTCTATCCCGTAGGACCTATCAAGAGTATACACTCTGCTTTCCTAACCTTTGAGAAACCAAGTTCACCTCCATGTCATGAGGAAACATTAGAGAATCATCACAGGTTTAAGTAGAAAAGAAACCTGGCCTTAAATTTCAATGAACTTGAACAGATGTGATAGAGTGGGAAGAATATTAGACCTAGGTTCAAATTCCAACTCAGTCACTTACTGTCTGTGTGACCTTGGGTAAATCATTTAATCTCTTTCATCTAGAATGTTAGGAGGTTGGACCAGACGACCTTTAAGATCCCTTCCAGCTCTAAAAATGCAATCCTATGAGCCCAGCAAGTCATCCTTTACATAGCTAAATAGTAAGGGGAGAAGAAAGAAGAGACTTAAATCATTTGATTTAGGATATTTGGACAGGCTATCACATACTCTCTCAATTATCACTGGAAAGACTTGATAATTCTATTCTAGTAGATAACCTACAGATAACTGTGGCATGGATGGGGATTAATATTTGGTTCAGAAATACTCCATAAAAAAAAAAAAACAAGACAAACAAAAAAGAAATACTCCATAATGGGATAGAGACCATAATGCAGAACATTAAGTATCAAGCTTATTACCCACAATTCTGAAAGCTTCCTGATCCTATTGCCTCAAAATGTTACAACTTATTTAGTGCTATTTAATTTATTTACCCCTTAAGGGATTACTATTTATCAGTGTTTTGGAGACTATACTGTCCCATGACTCACAAAATGTATAACAACACTAGAAGAATAAAGGAATTTTTTAAAAATAGGCTTTTGTTTCAGAGAGAAGATTAAGGTCATTGAAGTGTGTGATAGGAGAGGACGGTTATTAGGATGCAACATATTATAGTCAGCAGTCAGTAAGCATTTACTTAACACTTACTACGTGCCAAGCACTATACTAAACTCCAGAGATACAAACAAAGACCAGAGACAGTCCCTGCACTTGAGAAGCTCACGTTTTTCTGGAGGAAACAACAAGCAGATTTGCACAAACAAACTCTAGATAGAATAAGTAGGAAATAATTAAGAGACGGAAGGCACCAGAACTTAAATTAAGAGGAACTAGGGAAGGTTTCTTTGCACTCAAAGTACTCAGTGGTGGACAGGATGTCATCCAAGAAAAACATACAGGAAAAATAAATAGGGTTGTTCAACCTGGCAAGAATGGTAGATGACTAAAGTACAGTTTGTGGGTTCCATTGGCATGCTTGGGATGATAAGAGAAAGTACGGAAAGGTCCTAACACATTGGGTGGACACCCTCCTCCCAGCACGGCCAACCACTAAGAGCAAGTGGACAAGACCTGCATACGGGAGACAGGCATGGGTGGGCTTTGATCTGCATTGCTAGAGGGAATATTCCTCTTGATGAGATTCAGAGATCCATTTGAATTTTTGAGTACATGGGTATCTAATGCAGCACAATATGTAGTTAGATGGCACACTGGATAGAGCACAGGACTTGGAGTCAGAAAGACCCGAGTTCAAATCCACCCTCAAACACTTACTAGCTGTGTGTGGCAAATCACATAACCTCTGTCTGCCTCAGTTTCCTTATCTGTAAAATGATGGTAAGAATAGCACATACCTCCAAGGGTTACTGGGAGGATAAAAATGGGATATTTGTAATGAGCTTGCAGATTTTAAACTATGTAGTTTAGAGAAGTAGTATGTAAAGTAGAAGTAAACTATGTAGTTTAGAGAAGAAGAAGGGGCAGCAGAAGGAGGAAGAGGAGGAGGAGAAGGAGGAGGAGGAGGAGAAGAAGAAGGAGAAGAAGAAGAAGAAGGAGGAGGAGGAGGAGGAGGAGGAGGAGGAGGAGAAGAAGAAGAAGGAGAAGGAGGAGGAGGAGGAGAAGAAGAAGGAGGAGGAGGAAGAGGAGGAGGAAGAAGAAGAAGAAGAAGGAGAAGGAGGAAGAGGAGAGGAGAAGAAGAAGAAGAAGAAGAAGAAGAAGAAGAAGAAGAAGAAGAAGAAGAAGAAGAAGAAGAAGAAGAAGAAGAAGAAGATATCTATGGAGTGTCTTTTATAAGCAAAGTACTGTAAAAGGGACCAAGGGACCACAGGTACCAAGATGGAAAAACAACAGTCCCTGCCCTCAACTAGCTTACTATAAGATTCTAAATTATCACATGAAATATCCAGCATCACCAGCAAAGAGGTCTGTTGTATAAGCAAATTTTCTGGGGAAACGTAGTCTGTCTCTTTTAAGTGTCAAAAGGTTTTTTTTTTTATTTAAACAATTTCAGTGAAAGTCTTTCTGAAATTATTACACATCATTCAGTATTGTCTCGATGACATAGCATCACCATTATGACTATCAGTTGTTATACTGCATTGTAATGCAGTAATGTCCCCAGGGCTCTTTAGTCACACAAAGTGGTTTGCATCTACATAAATCAGGCAGAACCTGCTATACTTTTTGAGTTACAGTGGCTGCTATATTTTTTCTCCTTTGGTTGTTTTTTCTTGCAGCTATCAGTGTGTATGAGTTCAGAACTCACTCCCATTCTAACCTGCCACTTTTGATCTGCTGTGGGTAAGAGACACCAAATAAACAATGCTTTAAGAACCATGTGTAAATCAAAGGCAAGCAGTCATAGAATAAAGACTTGAAGTTCTTTCTTAAGCAAAAAAAGTGAATAGGCTTTAGTGAACTGGACTTACACCATGTCTTTTATAATTCCTAGCTATAGACTGATTCCCAGTGGTCCTGGGTGTTCAGGGCTTTCAGTCATTCTTTGATACTCAGGAGAACAAAGACTTTCATAAAAATGTATCCATCTAGAAGTCTAGTTCAGGTGCTTTCAAATACACTGATCTCGAATAAACCAAATAAGGACAAAAAGAGGGCTGGTTACATCCTCTACTATCTAGAGTTATAGAAATGGGCTCATGCATCCTTTTTGATCCAGATCACATGGCATCTTCCACCTTCTGGAGGAAAGAACCTAATCTAGCCAGATTGCATCAACCTTAAATTCATTGTCTGCCACACTCTAGGGCACAGGCTCTTAACCTGAAGTCCATGAAACCAGGTTTGAAGGAGTTCATGAATTTGTCTTTTTTTAATATTTTAATAACTACATCTCAATATAATTTTTTTCTTTGCAATCCTATGTATTATGTACTTTAAATGTATACATTTAAAAATGTGATTCTGAGAAAAGGTCCATAGACTTCACCAGATGGCTAGAGGCCACAAAAAAAAAGTTTAAAAATCCTGCTCTAGGGCTTCTCAAATTTATGCAGTAACTGCATACATTCAGTGACAGACATTCTAAGTATTCTATTCTTATTTGCTTTTATCTTTTAAATTCACTTTCAGCCTTTCCATTATGAATGAAGTTAAATCATCATACATTGTTGGGTCAGAGATTTAGAGCTGGAAGGGACCTTAGAGGTCATTTAATCTAAATTTTATTTTATAGAAACTGAGGCCCAGAAATGATATGACTACCCAATCCCACAGCTAGTAATTGGCAAGGAGAATATTCAAAACCAGATGCTCTGATGCCAGATTCTCTTTCCAATACACCATATTACCTCCCACCCTCTACTTACTGGTTTGGGTAAAAT